GGAGTGCATAATACAGGCATGCTTTAGACCTACTGTACTTACACCACAAACACTGGGTTAAAATAGCATGAATAGTCTCAGAAAGGTAACTCAAACGTCAGTTTTACCCGTGCTTTTTATCACACCCGTTAAATTATAATCAGTCCAATGTGTGTAACGCAGAGCCACGATGTGCAGGCGCAGGCTGTGAGTAACAAATGACCAGACTCCACACACTGTGCGCTCCCTATCATGAGACGGCCGTCGCGTGTCCACCCACTCACCGCCCTCACGGATCTTCCCCAGGTGGTGAAGGCACGACCACGGGACAAGGACGCGCGAGAAAAGTACAACAAGTGCCGGACCATCGTGAACCGACTGCGGTTCGAACGCGCCATCGCGGTAGACGATGAGCCCCAGAAGACGGTCGCCGAACTGATAAACATCGAGTCGATGAGTGAGTGGGCATCTCCCTGTGGTGTGGGGTGTATAGTGTCATGGCTTGGTGAAAATGTGACTGAAACTATCCCTTAGATTTCAGGAAGGAGAGTAGGCCATCAATTCATTCAACTTGTCCTTGTGGCCGCCTCCATATTCTGCCTTGGACCGGCGGCCTAGATCCCTCCGTTGACGCCAGCTGCCGCTTTTCACCGCTGGGACGGCGGGTTCAGTCCTCCTAGACATTGACAGGCCCTGGATAGTCGCCTGTTGGTGGCGGGGTGTGGCCCCTCTCTAGACATTGTCAGGCTCGGGGACGGTGGCCTGTGTCCCCTTTCAGACCCGGGTGGGATCGGGACAGCGGACTGTGTCCTTCCCTAGATTTTAGCCGCGGGCCCTAGTCTGCCGTAATGGGACACCGAGCCGTGCCCCATGATTAGGCAGGCGGGCTGGGAGCGGCGGACTGTGTGTATGTCCCTTTTCAGACACGGGCGAGATCGGGGCGGTGGGTTGTGCCCCTCCTTAGATAGGTGGTTCGGGGCGGCGGCCTCTGTTGCTGACCGTCGCGACCTCTGCCGACAGCGATCGAGGATGACTACGCCGGTCCGTCACTACAGGACGGAAAGGTCACACCCGAGTTCATGGTCGAACTCATGTCCTGGTTCAAAGACCAGAAACTATTGCACACCAAGTATGCCTTCAAGGTATGTTCCGACACCGGTGGAAGGCCTAGGCACGCTGATAGTTTTCCTTATAGTGAACCTAGCCGTTATGACAGATTGTGGTATCTTTGTCGCTATGACATGAGATACGTTGTGTAGCTGGAAGGGTTTCTTACTGCAGTGTTAACTTACGGGGACCACAGTAATGGACAGCCAATGCAGACTTCACGGTTCAGTCTATTCACACTTGATAATGAAGCGTTGTACTTCATTATCGGTGAACTTTGACCGCCCATGCGCTGAGGGGTGGAACCGAAGCTGCTTAGAGATAATGTTCAGACCGACTGACCCGCGGTACCGTATGAAAACAGCCGCCCCCACTGCTCGCCGCAGATCCTGCTGGACATGAAGGAGTACCTGGTGAAGCAGCCCTCGCTGGTGGACGTCTCGATTCCGGCCGAGAGCAAGTTCACCGTGTGCGGCGACGTACACGGACAGTACTACGACTTGTTGAACATCTTCAAACTGAACGGCGTGCCGTCCGAAACAAACCCGTACCTGTTCAATGGGGACTTTGTCGACCGGGGATCGTTCTCCGTCGAGTGCATCCTGACGCTGTTCGGTTTCAAGCTGCTGTACCCCAACCACTTCTTCATGTCCAGAGGTGAGACTGGCTGGAGGGCGTCCATGGCTATTCGGCAGTCGGGATGTACAGAAACGTAGCTCACACATTCATTTAGTGTGTTCGGTTGAGCGAGGTTGTCAGTCTTAGTACATAAGTGTAAGCTGTAACAGTGTGGATATTGCTGCTAGCTTCTGTCCCTGGTTTATTCGCTTTTGGTGGAGCCTTTCATTAGCTTATGAGCTCACGACCTAGGTTATAAATTATCAATCATTATACGGCTGTAATATTTGGTGACAGATAAATATCGGTCCTCTACGTCAGCTCACACTGTCTTTTTTGCCGACCGCGTCGTTGGTTATTAGTATTCAGTGTTTATGTGACGGATTATTGCCATTATCTCGGGGTATACCTACTAGCTGGGTGTCGGATCAGCTGGCACCTTCTGAGTTTTACGTCTTTGTCCTGTATCCCTGCTCTCTGCCTGTGTCTTACGTCCGTTGGTGCGCCTTATCTGTGTTTGTGTTCTTTGTTTGTGTTTTTAGCCTGTAACCTGTGCCCGCACTCCGCGACCTGTGTCCTGTGTCCGTACCCTTTTTCCGCACATTCCTTGTGACCTGGCCAGACCTGACCTATCTCTATTCTTCCGCCAGGTAACCACGAGAGTGAGACCATGAACCAGATGTACGGGTTTGTCGGCGAGGTGAGCGCCAAATACTCGTCCCGGATGGCAGAGCTGTTCACCGAGGTGTACAACTGGCTGCCGCTCTGTCACGTGCTGAACGGACGCGTGTTCGTCACGCACGGCGGACTGTTCTCGCGTGACGGCGTAACGCTGGACGAGCTGCGCGCGGTAGAGCGCGGCCGTCAGCCGCCCGAGGAGGGTCTTATGTGCGAGCTGCTGTGGTCGGACCCGCAGCCGCAGCCCGGCAGAGGTCCGTCCAAACGCGGCGTGGGCTGCCAGTTCGGCCCCGACGTGACGGCCGAGTTCTGCGGGACCAACGGACTCGACTATGTGATCCGGTCACACGAAGTCAAGGCCGAGGGCTATGAGGTGTCACACGGTGGAAAGTGCATCACCGTCTTCTCAGCGCCAAACTACTGGTGAGCGGCGCTGGGGGTCGTACAGGGCTGCTCGACAGGGTGCTGATTCCACATTGATGGAGTAGTGTGGTAAATAGATTCAGTGTAGGTGGAGAATGGTACGCTTTTCAACCCATGTATCGCACCCTTCATTGGTCTTTGGGGTGTTGCTGACAGGTCTTAGCTTGTTCGTTCATTGAATTGCCAAGCTTTGTCTCAAATTTATTTAGTTTATCGCATTGTTTTATAAAAAGAAGATATTCAAATAACTGGCTCGTTCCAAACTCAAGCTAGATCGATTTAATCGGCATCTTGCTCGGAGTTTACGATTGTTTCATAAATATTCCTAAGATCGGAGTTTATTCCTTTTTAAGTCTGGTGACCTCAAACGGCGCTTTTTCTTTCCAGTGACACAATGAACAACAAGGGCGCATTTATCACGTTAACTGGAGGAGATATGACCCCAAAGTACACTACCTACGAGGCTGTGGTAAGCTGCAGACTATTCTCACGAACTTTGTTTGCTTCTTGCTTATACCGTGTAGCTTCTTCAAGCATCCCAGATATCACTTCTGAAGGGATCTGCTTTAATCGAATCGATCGAAAAGCTAAATGGAACCTTCTCGTTTGCGTTCACCTAGTCGTGTTTGCAGAGCGATTCTTTTTGTTTACGACACGTCGTGATGACGTATCAATTGCTGAAAGTCGACAATGAAAGATAAATAATATAGAACAAGTCCCACCTCGCTCCACCCCATCTGAACTTTCCACTGACACCCTCTCCCCCCTTTCAGCCGCATCCGAACGTGAAGCCTATGGCGTACGCCAACTCACTGATGAGCATGTTCGTGTAACGGAGGTCGCCCTAGTCGCTGAGGACGCCGAGCTGGGTCTCGGCTCGGCCGGTGCCGGGCCAGCCGTGCTCGGCACGCGCTCTCCCGGGGCGCGCCGCCCGCGCGGCCGCTCAACCCTCGTTCAAAGTGTGTGACGCGCGCGATCGCCGACGGTTGTCGTATCTGGCCGTCCTGAGCGGCCGACCGGCGGCGCCAGAGTGTGATGACTGCAATGCCGTATCGTGTCTGTATTGTACCGAGGTAGGCGCAGCGCCAGAGGGCGCCGCAATACAATGACCCAGCCCGTACTCCATCTCAGGGTTGTCGAGGATCGGGTGGGAAGGGCTCTTTCGGGCCCTGGGGGATGTGGACAGTACAGTGGACACTGGCACAGTCGGGACAGTGGACACTTGAACAGGCGGGAGACTCGAGAACATTCTGACATCTGGCGGGAGGGACCGGTCCTTCCACTCAATGGCGAGACGTGTCGCGTGATGCAATGTCGAACGCGAGACGTTCATGAATCATGCACACACATTGCTTTCTTCGTCAATTTGATCTCTTTCAACCTCATTGTTTAGGTTTCAACTGTTGCTCAGGCGGTAATATTGAAACGTCAGCATTTGCATTCCTAGCTTGACGCGATCAGTTAGGGCATTTTTCCGGCGACGATCCTATTTGATGCTGCCTTTACGATCGATGATCAGTGATCACTGACCATCAGTAAAAGCCGGACACTTGCGGCAAAAATTGGCGCATCACCATACAATACCTGAATTCTGAGTCGCGATCCATTTGCTACGATTACCTTCACTTCTGTTTCGGCGTTTAGGAGAGGGGGGGGGGGGGAAGTCATACACTCGCGAATATTTTTACTTGTTTCTGCATTTATGCAGGAAGGGGTGTAAGCCATACTCGCAGGATTTGGCCATGATTCCGTGCACGCCCCGTTATTCTGCCCCTACCCTCGCCCTCCTGTCCCTCCCCGCCTTCACCGGCGCTGATCTCAGCCTCCCTGTGCCGCCGGTGCGCGATTAGACGGGGAATTCCCGGACCCGGCCGGAGCGTCTGAAGTTGAACGCTGCAGTTTGTGGGCCGCAGGGCAGCGGCGGCGGGAGCGCTCTCTGGCCTGGGGGCTATAAACGTTGTTTTCTCATGTTTTCCCTCATGATGCCTCTTGCGTATCGTAGGATAAAATGATAACAGAAGAGTTGGGGAAAGTGGTGTGATGATAGTCATATTTTTTGCTGCCACGTTGCCAGGGGGAGCGGTCAGGTGTGCTTGGGGTGTGCCGATGGTCTCAATCGGACGGGGACGCGGACCTGAGTTCGCCCCTGGACCAGCGCGGTCGGCCCTGGCGCTCCGCCGCCTGTACTCCATGCCAATGCCCCTTCCGTGCCGGGCACCGTCCGGTCCGCCCCGACTGCGGCAGCGCAGTTGGAGAGCGGGTTCAGTGGGGAGTGTCTGCGCTCTCCGCGCGGTGGATAACCCAACATCGGGACCTCAGACACATACGATAGCAAGTTCAGCCAGATAACGCGACAGATAGCGGGAGACCTTCCAAGTTCTAACACCATTCGGCCCGTTGAAGCTCAGTGGCAGGTAGCTCTGCGCCGGCGCGACCAGCCGCGATGGGGTGCTGCTGCGTGTTTTTGTTGTCCGTGTCGCTACTGGCGATGTCCGGCACCCTGCTGGGGGTCGGGGTCAGCCGGCTCGCCGACACCGAGGCGCTGGCCGTGGCGCGGCTGGACGGCGGGCAGTGTATCTGGGCAGACTTCTGTGTGTCGAGCGACGTCTGGACGACCGTGTTTGGCGGCGCCGGCTTGCTGCTGCTGCTGCTCAGCCTCCTGTCGTGCCAGTCTAAGCTACTGCTCGCCGGCATGCTACTGCTGCTGGCGTTCTTTTTCGTGGCTGCTCGTCTGGATGACATCACTGGTGAACCTGCCGGCGGGACGCTGGACCACGTCACCGCTACCATGAACGCCTCGCTGGAGCAGTACCGGAACAACTCGTCCACGGCGCGCGACTGGGACCACGTGCAGCGAGCGCTGCGCTGCTGCGGACCCACCGGCGCCGCCGACTGGGCGCCAGTGCTCGGCAACGGCACGGTGCCCGACTCGTGCTGCGAGCGGGCCGCGGCGGCCAACTGCAGCGGCGCAGAGGGCTCGTTCAGCGCCGGCTGTGCGCCGGCCGTGCAGGCGCTGGTGGCTGGCCAGAGGCGCTGGTCCGTGGCGCTGGCCACGGCTACCGCCAGCCTGCTACTGCTGCTTATCATCGTGATGCTGAGCGGCGCAGTGTGTGACGGTGACGTAGAGTCACAGGCACCACTGATCGTCAGGGTAAGGAGGGACATTCCCGTTAATTTTACGATGCGAGATGCCATGTTTGTTTAAATCAGGATATCAACATTCCTCCCTAATCAATGTCCATAAAGTTAGCGTCGTATTCGTATTCGGATTCAAATTCGAGTAATGATTTCGCTCAAAATTGGCATACAGATAGCCCATGGCACGCTGAGTTCGAAAATGGTGACCTTTTTTTCCTAGGTCAAACCGTTTGACCTTGAGAGGTCAAAATACCGCGTACCCTGTAGAATCTTTGTTTATGGTCCGATTTGAAAAATTCGACCACCAGTGTATTCGTCTCATCGAGAAGCAGTAGCACATTCAAAAAAATCCGAGGTCAAGGTCATAGTTCAAGGTCAATGTCACTTTAAAAATCGCCGTACCCTATAAAATCTTCATTTTTGGAGCTATCCGAAAATTTCGGCCACCACTGTGTTCGTCTCATCGAGAAGCAGTAGCACATTTGAAAAAATCCGAGGTCAAGGTCATAGGTCAAGGTCAAGGTCACTTTAAACGTTAATTTTAGTCCCCGTACCCTGTAGAATCTTTGTTTATGGTCCGAGTTAAAAATTTCGGCCACCACTGTGTTCATCTCATCGAGAAGCAGTAGCACATTCGAAAAAATCCGAGGTCAAGGTCATAGGTCAAGGTCAAGGTCACTTTAAACGTTAATTTTAGTCCCCGTACCCTGTAGAATCTTTGTTTATGGTCCGATTTGAAAATTTCGCCCACCACTGTGTTCGTCTCATCGAGAAGCAGTAGCACATTCGAAAAAATCCGAGGTCAAGGTCATAGGTCAAGGTCAAGGTCACTTTAAACGTTAATTTTAGTCCCCGTACCCTGTAGAATCTTTGTTTATGGTCGGATTTAAAAATTTCGGCCACCACTGTGTTCGTCTCATCGAGAAGCAGTAGCACATTCGAAAAAATCCGAGGTCAAGGTCATAGGTCAAGGTCAAGGTCATTTTAAACGTTAATTTTAGTCCCCGTACCCTGTAGAATCTTTGTTTATGGTCCGATTTAAAAATTTCGGCCACCACTGTGTTCGTCTCATCGAGAAGCAGTAGCACATTTGAAAAAATCCGAGGTCAAGGTCATAGGTCAAGGTCAAGGTCACTTTAAACGTTAATTTTAGTCCCCGTACCCTGTAGAATCTTTGTTTATGGTCCGATTTGAAAATTTCGGCCACCACTGTGTTCGTCTCATCGAGAAGCAGTAGCACATTTGAAAAAATCCGAGGTCAAGGTCATAGGTCAAGGTCAAGGTCACTTTAAACGTTAATTTTAGTCCCCGTACCCTGTAGAATCTTTGTTTATGGTCCGATTTGAAAATTTCGGCCACCACTGTGTTCGTTTAATCGAGAAGCAGTAGCACATCCGAAAAAATCCGAGGTCAAGGTCATAGGTCAAGGTCAAGGTCACTTTAAACGTTAATTTTAGTCCCCGTACCCTATAAAATCTTCATTTTTTGAGCTATCGGAAAATTTCGGCCACCACTGTGTTCGTCTCATCGAGAAGCAGTAGCACATTCGAAAAAATCCGAGGTCAAGGTCATAGGTCAAGGTCAAGGTCACTTTAAACGTTAAAATTCGGATTCAAATTCGAGTAATGATTTCGCTCAAAATTGGCATACAGATAGCCCATGGCACGCTGAGTTCGAAAATGGTGACCTTTTTTTCCTAGGTCAAACCGTTTGACCTTGAGAGGTCAAAATACTGCGTACCCTGTAGAATCTTTGTTTATTGTCCGATTTGAAAAATTCGACCACCAGTGTGTTCGTCTCATCGAGAAGCAGTAGCACATTCAAAAAAATCCGAGGTCAAGGTCATAGGTCAAGGTCAAGGTCACTTTAAAAATCGCCGTACCCTATAAAATCTTCATTTTTGGAGCTATTTTTCATTTCATTTCATTTTTTTCATTTTTGGAGACGAACACAGTGGTGGCCGAAATTTTTAAATCGGACCATAAACAAAGATTCTACAGGGTACGGGGACTAAAATTAACTTTTAAAGTGACCTTGACCTTGACCTATGACCTTGACCTCGGATTTTTTCGAATGTGCTACTGCTTCTCGATGAGACGAACACAGTGGTGGCCGAAATTTTTAAATCGGACCATAAACAAAGATTCTACAGGGTACGGGGACTAAAATTAACGTTTAAAGTGACCTTGACCTTGACCTATGACATTAGCGTCGCCACGGGGGGGGGGGCAAGCGGGGCAGCTTGCCCCCCCAACCTCTGACCGGGCACCCCCTGAGATCGATACAGTTCCGATGAGATTTTGGAGTCGGGGAAAAATGGGGGTACCTTTCTGAGAAGGAGGTCAGACTCTGTTGGAGCGTGCAGTTCAAACCAAAGTCAGAGTCGCAGTCGCCAAAATCTTCAAGACTCCGACTCCAGACTCGGAAATGTCAATGCCATGATTCATGCCATGTTCCTAGTTGGTTCTGTATTACATTTTGTAGCTGATTTTCATAAATTTTGGAGTGCTGACACATAACTTTCGTTCAAAGCGTGACACGAAATCTTCGGGGCCTTTCTCAACTCTCGTCAAATGTCTGCGACAGGCACAAGTACCGTTCAAGTGCCGCAGGGCTCATGAGCCTGCTTTTTACACAGGCTCCTAAGGAGCTCCACTGAGCTCTAAGAAGCTTTCGGAGGACCCAAACCGGCCTCTGAGAGTCTCACTGGTGTCCATGTTCTCTAGAGGGCCCATACAGGGATCTTTGAGGACATTATACATACGTAGACCTCTGAAGGGCAACACGAATCTTTGAGGATGCCTTCGAAAATTTTTGAAAACCTCAACTGGCCTATGATAGTTCAGCCGAACTTTTGAGGCGACAGACTTTACTGACCCCAACCCGGCATCTGAGGGGTCACAACTCACGTGTCCCTCTGAGGGCCGCAACACATGTTTCTTATGTCCTCCTACCAACGTAGGATTCGACACAGACCCCGACGGTTCACACTGTTATTCGAGGGCTCCAGGCTCACCCTGGGCCTAGTCTCTTAGCGCCCGCCGCCCACACTGGCTTCTGAAAGCTCGTGTGCCCTAAAGGGCTTTCCGGGCCCACCTTAGGCTCGGAAAGCCCTAAAGCACCACATACACGTAAATGTTTGGGGTGACCCACGCCGATCTCCGGGAACCTAAGCAGGCTTCTGACTGTCCACACTGACCCTGAGTGGCCTGAAATGGCCTGGAAGTCGCAATCCTATCTCTAAGGGATCCCTTGCCGCTATGCCGTGCGTAACTTTTGGTTCCGTTAAATATTTTTGGTCGCGTTTGCAGCGCTTCCCTTCACTCGAAAAACCAGAAACTTTTTGTTCACACTCGAGTGAACAAAACACTTCTTCTCACTGCAGCAAGGATGAATGATGTACTTCCGATTCACACTTCCGACATTCTCTCTCAGTCTCCGCCGAATGCCCAATTCTAAGCTACAATCGGCGGCTGGGATAAGCCCTATGCATTTCACGTAAAACCTCGGCATGCATGCGTGAATGGAGGTTTTAGCGAGGTGATCCGATTCAAATGGAGCGTTTTTCACCTTCTTCTGGGTAATGATCATGAGCGACGAGAGTCTGCACAGGGGCCCTCTGCAGTGCGTCGGCAATCGCAGCCACTCAGTGTAATTCTAACGGTCGTTTTTGTTCAGAAATTTCAAAATTTTGATTTTTTTTTGTAAAAAAATACATGCTATAGCTAGAATGAAAACTTTGTCACCATCGGATTCCTCGCACCATTGCGCGTCGAATGATATGTAAAACGAGTGAGTAACGGCTGGGGAAAGGCAAGATTTAACACAAAACTTGATTTTGCCCCCCCAACCGAAAATGTCTGGTGACGCCTATGACCTATGACCTTGACCTCAGATTTTTTCGAATGTGCTACTGCTTCTGAGACGAACACAGTGGTGGCCGAAATTTTCAAATCGGACCATAAACAAAGATTCTACAATTCTACAGGGTACGGGGACTAAAATTAACGTTTAAAGTGACCTTGACCTTGACCTATGACCTTGACCTCGGATTTTTTTCAAATTTCCTACTGCTTCTCGATGAGACGAACACAGTGGTGGCCGAAATTTTCAAATCGGACCATAAACAAAGATTCTACAGGGTACGGGGACTAAAATTAACGTTTAAAGTGACCTTGACCTTGACCTATGACATTGACCTCGGATTTTTTCGAATGTGCTACTGCTTCTCGATGAGACGAACACAGTGGTGGCCGAAAATGAAGATTTTATAGGGTACGGGGACTAAAATTAACGTTTAAAGTGACCTTGACCTTGACCTATGACCTTGAACTCGGATTTTTTCAAATGTGCTACTGCTTCTCGATGAGACGAACACAGTGGTGGCCGAAATTTTCAAATCGGACCATAAACAAAGATTCTACAGGGTACGGGGACTGAAATTAACGTTTAAAGTGACCTTGACCTTGACCTATGACCTTGACCTCGGATTTTTTTTCGAATGTGCTACTGCTTCTCGATGAGACGAACACAGTGGTGGCCGAAATTTTTAAATCGGACCATAAACAAAGATTCTACAGGGTACGGGGACTAAAATTAACGTTTAAAGTGACCTTGACCTTGACCTATGACCTTGACCTCGGATTTTTTCGAATGTGCTACTGCTTCTCGATGAGACGAACACAGTGGTGGCCGAAATTTTTAAATCGGACCATAAACAAAGATTCTACAGGGTACGGGGACTAAAATTAACGTTTAAAGTGACCTTGACCTTGACCTATGACCTTGACCTCGGATTTTTTCAAATGTGCTACTGCTTCTCGATGAGACGAACACAGTGGTGTCCGAAATTTTCAAATTGGACCATAAACAAAGATTCTACAGGGCACGGGGACTATTTTTTTTTTATAAATTTAGTCCGAACGGCTGAATGGGTGGATTTGAGGAATCAGAGCCCGCACTAAGCATAGCTTGTTGTGCTGACCCTAATCCCACCACCCGATCGCGCAATTCCAGTTGTATGGCAGAATTTTGTCCGAACGTTTAACGTGCCCTAACGACTGGACACGGTCCTCTCCGCTCACTCACGTTACCTGGCTTCTGTGCGGCCCCTGCCACAGACACGCACGCCATTACACGTAGGAGCTAAATGTGGCCGCCCGCACCGGGGCTTGAACCGGGCTCTCACTTCCGGCTAAGCGGCGAACTCCGGCGCTTTTATCCACTCGGCCACGGAGAGGACGCTTTAACGTAAATTAACGTTTAAAGTGACCTTGACCTTGACCTATGACTTTAACCTCGGATTTTTTCAAATGTGCTACTGCTTCTCGATGAGACGAACACGGTGGTGGCCGAAATTTTCAAATCGGACCATAAACAAAGATTCTACAGGGTACGGGGACTAAAATTAACGTTTTAAGTGACCTTGACCTTGACCTATGACCTTGACCTCGGATTTTTTGAATGTGCTACTGCTTCTCGATGAGACAAACACACTGGTGGTCGAATTTTTCAAATCGGACCATAAACAAAGATTCTACAGGGTACGCAGTATTTTGACCTCTCAAGGTCAAACGGTTTGACCTAGGAAAAAAAGGTCACCATTTTCGAACTCAGCGTGCCATGGGCTATCTGTATGCCAATTTTGAGCGAAATCATTACTCGAATTTGAATCCGAATACGAATACGACGCTAACTTTATGGACATGCGAGATCAAGATTGTGACTCGATCTAATGCTATCTGGCCGGAGTGACTAGGGCTCCAGACTCCAGGAACCCAACAAGACGACGGCTTTGCTTGGAGCAGTGCCTGCGACGTTCGTTATTTCTACCTCGCCCGATCACGGAGCGATTGTGGCCCGGTGCAGTGCAAAACAAAGCGTGCTACCTCTCCCTCCCTCTGTGTAATGTGAGTGCCTTATCTGGGCTCGGCCTCGGCCCGGTCCCCTCCCCTCTTGACTCGGGCCGCTCTCATGTCCTTCCCCGCGCCACGCCTCGGGTCTCTACTCACCCCTCTGCCCCTCCCCTCCCACCTCGTGTCGGCATTCCATGCTCACTACATTCAAGCCCCTAATAGAGCTAGTAATGGTTCGGACTTCGGATAAGCCACTCTACCTCCCCTCGACGGGTCCCCTCTTATTTGTACCTGACCTGTCTTTGATGTCGGTTCACAATGATGTGAAATTTGTTTTTGTATTTTTCCAGCGCACGCAGGCGGATCTCGACAACCACGCCAACCAGTTGAATCCCAACAACTGGCGCTTCAAGCCCAAGCTTCGCGGCCGGTGAACGCCACCTTTGAGATCGTTCGTCAGCAGGTTACGACTAATGACTGGCTTGCTTTGTCAGTAGCGGCCCTATATACGGCCTTGGTAGCGGCGGAACACCTTCAATTAAGGGGGGGGGAGGGGCACTGCCGACTTGTGGTCCCATTCTTTCCACGCAACGCCCATAGGGCTAATGTTGGGCTAATGTTAAAATGCCAAAATCAAAGGGGGGCACGGTGCCCCGGTGCCCTCCCCGTTCCGCCGCCTGTGTCCTTTGTATTGCAGCCACATCATGCTTGCTTACCAGGCACCGTATCGGTACAGGCTATAACGGGATATTTATTATTTGACTTCGAGAAGATGTCAGATATTTGTTTTGCGATGCGCAGTGCGATGTTGGTCACCGTCATATGATGCCCAGATTTGGTGTTTTGGATAGTTAATAAATACCCTAGCTGATATTATGCGAGGAATAATCCTAGTCCCCTCTATGGTTTACTAAATTGTTTCCACTATTTTTCCCGGACCTGGGAAGGTGGGACCGCATGGGATGGCAAGAAGAGGCGGTGACATGGGTAGTCTCGCTCTCACGTAGTGTCAATATAGGAACTCCGCGATCCGCAGCGATAAAAATGCGTCGAATAGTCTACGAGCGCGCTGCGCGGTACTTCCAAACGCTCATCTCACACACGCATGTTCAGCACTGAATGACCACTTGGTCATTGAACAATGAACATTCTTTGAACGTCAAGCTGGCGTGACAAGCTTTGTGCCGTCTCGTGTCCATGGTGTGTCCAAGATTCTTGGTGTGTCAAAAGTGGAAATAGCCGGTGCGCCGTCTGGCAACCCGCCAGCCCGCCGCCATAGGGAAATTCATGCTTTTTGTCGCTTTTTCGCTCCTCATGAGTCGCTTGATCTAATTAGAGCTTAACTAGGAACGAGGCGGATCACTTGGACGCATTCGGGAGCCGAATACGTTGTTTTGAAGCCAATACCTGGGAAACCCTATCCGCCCAATCTACATGCCCAAATTAACGTTGAGCGTTGCCGTTTTCGGTCGGGATTCCGTGACCTTTTGGCGAAATCGCCTTATTTTATATTTATTCAACCAGGGTGGACTAATTCGCTTAACTAGGAGTAAGGCGTTGAAGAGAATTATTCAAGGAATAGAGCTGTGCAAAAATATTTTTGTATTGCTACAACTGTATCCGCCCTCGAACGATTAATATTGTTGCATCTTGCCATTCTACTGTTGTCTATGCTCTTGCATATCGTGGGATTAAATGGTAACAGAAAAGTTGGGGAAAGTGGTGTGATTAAAGTCATATTTTTCCGCCGGCAGGTTGCCAGGGGAAGCGGTCGGGTATGCATGAGCTGTGCCCTTGGCCTTGATCGAGCGGGGGGGGGGGGGGGCGGGTTCAGGGTTATTCAATTTTCATTGAAGGGTATACGATGCCGCTAGTCACTGCTGAAAAAGTCATCAGAAAATAGCTCCGTCTTCCTCTATGAGCTGTCATGACCGGGAAACGTAGCACCGTGCCGACGTAGCAATGTCCCTGCCCGAGCAGCTTCTGATTCCGCCCCCGGACCAGTGCCGGGTCGGCCCTGGCGCTCCTTCGCCTGCCCGTGTACTCTCTGCCCCTTCCGTGCCGGGTTGAGTGGGAAGACCGTGCTGTCCGCGCGGTGGATAGCAACAGCCAGACAGTGGGACATCAGACATGAGACAGATACGATAGCAAGTCCAGCCAGATAGCGCGACAGATAGCGGATGACCTTCCTGCACCTATCGGCCCGTTGAAGCTCAGTGGCAGGTGGCTCTGCGCCGGCGCGACCAGCCGCGATGGGGTGCGGCTGCTGCTGCGTGACGCTTTTGTCCGTGTCTGTGCTGGCGATGTCCGGCACCCTGCTGGGGGTCGGGGTCAGCCGGCTCGCCGACACCGAGGCTCTGGCCGTGGCCCGACTGGATGGCGGGCAGTGTATCTGGGCAGACTTCTGTGTGTCGAGCGACGTCTGGACGACCGTGTTCGGCGGCGCCGGCCTGCTGCTGCTGCTGCTCAGCCTCCTGTCGTGCCAGTCTAAGCTGCTGCTCGCCGGCATGCTACTGCTGCTGGCGCCCTTTTTCGTGGCTGCTCGTCTGGATGACATCACTGGTGAACCTGCCGGCGGGAAGCTGGACCACGTCACCGCTACCATGAACGCCTCGCTGGAGCAGTACCGGAACAAGTCGTCCATCGCGCGCGACTGGGACCACGTGCAGCGAGCGCTGCGCTGCTGCGGACCCAGCGGCGCCGCCGACTGGGCGCCAGTGCTCGGCAACGACACGGTGCCCGACTCGTGCTGCGAGCGGGCCGCGGCGGCCAACTGCAGCGGCGCAGAGGGCGCGTTCAACGCCGGCTGTGCGCCGGCCGTGCAGACGATGGTGGCCGGCCATAGGCGCTGGTCCGTGGCGCTGGCCACGGCTACCGCCAGCCTGCTACTGCTGATCATCGTGACGCTATGCAGCGCAGCATCTGGCGACAGCCACGCAGATACATCGACGACTGAACCGCTTATCGCCGGGGTAAGGACATTCCCGTTTATTTTACGATATAAAATGTTACGTATGTGTGATTAAATCAAGACATGTACAATGAACATCCCTAATTATGCGTCGCCGGCCGTCAATAATCGTGATTTAAATAACCGTAAATAATCGTAACCGTAATAAAAGTATCACAATCGCAAATAAAAGTTTACAATTAACCTAATTATTTGAAGATTCATTTTTGAGTTGTTCACATTTGTCCGTCTTGAAGGTCAACCATATAGGGACAGGCAATTGAGAAAAAAAAAAAACGTTGGGCACCCATTTGAACATTCGATCACTTTGGTGAGCTGAGTTCAAGGATTCAAGATTTGCGAATCGACCTGATGCTACCTGGCGCGGTCGGAGGCCGGAGCAACTATAAGTGTCGAGGAACCCTTGGACCAGTGTCTGCGACGTTGGTTATTTCTCCTTGACCCCATAAAGAGGCCGTCGTGGCCCGGTGCAGTTCAAAACAAAGCGTGCTAGCATTGCAAGATACTGGCACAGATCAGTCACTCGACCTCGTCCTCGCCTGCTATTAGTCTTATCTCTTATCGACACAGGGCCAGGTCTGGCTTTGAGGTCTGTTCACCATGATTATTGGTTATTTACTGACCTGTGTTTCACGTCTTTTTCCAGCATACGCAGGCGGATCTCGACAACCACGCAAATCAGTTGAACCCCAACAACTGGCGCTTCAAGCCCAGGCTTCGAGGCCGTTACTACCGGGGCACGTACTAACCGTACTAACGACGTCGATGCGACCGGCAGAAGGTTGAATGCTGCTTCCGGTCAGCAGGTTGGACTTTTGGCATATTGTATATATAGCCATATAGTGCCTACATACTAGACATGCATATATGTAGGTATGCCTACAAACCAGGCACTGAATGTAGGTATACCTACTGTATAGACTATAGATCATACCGGCTTCTTTGATTTCGAGGAAATATCTACCTATTTCTTTTTAGTTGATGCACAAATGTGATGTCGGTGTTATGTTCAGCTCTGAGCTCATGCTGGCTTAATTTGATATTTTGGCGTTGGTTGTATTATACCTAGTTATTAGTTAATGAACACCTTAGCTGATATTATGTGAGGAATAACCCCAGTCGGTTATGTGGTTCAAAAAATTGTTCCCACGATTTTTTTCCGGGCCTGGGAAGGTGGGATGGACAGAAGAAGAAGAGGCGGTGGGATGGGTTGAGTCTCACGTGGTGTGAATAGGAACTTGACTATCGCTGTGATCCATAGCAATACAAATGCTTCGAGCATACTACAAGCGTGATACTCGCAAATACTTATTTCGCACAACTCATGCAAAGTCATGGTACACACATTGAACGTCGTCACCGTTCCGTCATTTCCGTCCTCAGTCAAATCCTTCTCCTCCACGTCTCAACCCCCTGATCCGGGTTGGACGGGCAACTTTATCCCACGCGGGGTTGCCCGTAAGCCGAGGACGCCCGTAGCCGGGTGTGGTGAGTGCTTGGGGTCTGCTCGGCCTGTCCTCTGGACAGGCTCAGTCCCGGCAACTCACCAGAGGGCTCGCCCAGACCAATGCCACCCCCTAATTCCTATCATCCTTCCGGCTCTGCAATGCAGTCTTGTCAGACCGAAAGGACCTAACCCAACAAAACAAACACATATTGAACGTCACACTTGCGCGTGACGAGCTACTCGTGTCAAACACTCAATGTTCCTCTCATCTGTTTATTTCTATCTAAAATATACATGAATGTAGATGGATGAGCAGGGTTAGACGTTGAAGCGCTAGACGCTGCAACTTCGATAGTAACAGGGCACCAGAATGATGACTGATGAGTGTTACATTTGACATCTTGCGCATCGAATGCCTATTAATGATGCCTACTAGGAATAGTGCCTACATTCACACACTTGGAGATGAATTTGGATCATTAAAAGTGGCATTTGTATATGCAAAGAAAAGGGAGCGCAACCAGGCGTTCGACCATTTAAGCCAGCTCTATATGTTTATTATGTTAGTGAAAACTGGGAATCCTATCCGACAGCTACCCGGTGCATTCGTGATTGAGCTACGAGCGGCGCTGCCTCACTCAGGGCCTTTCCTAGTGCGTACGTTAGATGCCAGAGAGTAACTTGGGCTGTAGACGGCCGCGCCGTCCCGTCATCAGCAGCGCCCATTCTTAGTTACCAAACATCGTTACGCATTCGTAATACCTCACATTGCGTGCTAGCTTGTAAGTGTGCAATCTCACCAGCAGCGCCACATTGATACATTGAAATGTTGAACTATGCTACAACAATGCACCGGGCAGCACGCAATTGCATTCATGCATGGGCTGAAAGGTTATATAGCCTCGAGCTGTACGCTGGACAGCCAACTGAAAATAACGCACTTTCAAATGACGCACACGGCACAGGCCAGCCAGTCTGGTTAGATGGCCAGCCAGTCTCCATCGCCGGCGAACCCGCGCTGACCTCATTTAGCTGCCATGCCAACTTCTTCCAGCATCGCGGCCATCTCGTGGGGGCCCTCTCCGAACTTCTCCGACTGTTGTCGAGCCAGTGCTGCCGAGTAGGACGCCAAGCCGTTAGACAGAGATGAAGGGACTGGGAGGGACTTCGGGTCGAAAGGAACCGCCTGAAGGAACCCAATGGACAGCTCGCTCGGTGAGGGAACGATGGATCGGGAGGGACCGCCTCCAGGGACCCAATGAGACAGCCCACTCGGTGAGGGACCCATGGGTGGGAACTCGGGAGGGACTGCCTTCAGAGACCCAGTGAGACAGTTCACTCGGTGAGGGACCCTTGGGCCGGGAGGGGCCGCCTTCAGGGAGCCAGGAGTTACGAATTCAGGGACCCAATGGGACAGCTCACTCGGTGAGAGACCCTTGGGTCGAGAAGGATCGCCTTCAGGGACGCTGAGGACAGCTCTACCAGCGACGGCGACCGGGGAACACCGCTAACAGGGACCTGGGAACGGCTCACAGCCCGATCGGCGAGGCAACCCACGGCGTAGCGTACCTTCAAACATGAACAGAGTGCACACCGTACCTTTCTGTCGCTGTCGCAGCTCGCGGCGGGTCATGTGCCCGCGCAGACAGCCGTAGAAGGCCACGGCGTAGAGGACGCCGCACACGCCGCTGGCCACGCCCATGGAGCGCATGGCGATCACGGGGCCGAACAGCGCCATCAGGTAGCCGCCCAGGAAGCTGCCAATACCGCGGCCTGGCCAGCAGCGAGGGGAAGGGGCGCAGCGGTCAGCCGCGAACGGTCATCTGCACGTAATGAACTTATCATAGCCTTGAAGTTATCCGAAACAAGACTGCTTTTTCCTAAAGGACGGTAAGAAAAGATGCTTTTAATGGAAGTATTATATTATATGGAAAGGATAATGGTTTAGCGGCCGATTGTACTAATTATATTTCAGAAAAACGTATAGTTAGGTATGCATGTTTTTCGTACTAAACTCAACAGCGTCACATGCTCGATTCTGCAGGGCCAGTGAGTTGAACCTAGTTGAATGGTCCGAGCAGTTCTACCTAGGCTTCATCAATGCCAGCATCCAGATTCCAGCAGGTACATGTTTTTGCTTATAGCCATGAAGCGAAGCTGGATGGAGTCAAATCCAACAGTGGATTTTATGTTTGCATTTTTTTCCACTGTTCTGCTTAGTGTTCGGTTCTTCGTACCGAAGCTGTAGTGAAGGGCTCCAGCGAAGCCCGTCAGCGTGGCCAGCAGCCCTGGTGGCGCCAGCTGGCCTGCGTAGGTAGCAGCACTGTTCCACATCAGATGGGTAGTGGCCACCTCTAGCAGCTCGAACGGGAAGGCCAGCCACGGGTTGCTGTGGGCCGCAGGAGACATGGTCATTGGTCAGTCACTGTGTGTCAGGTAACACATATCGGCATATCAAAAGGTCTCGGAGGCAAAGGGGACGAGGTGTGGAGCATGATTCTGAATTTGCTGTCAAATCCTGTACACAATTTATTTCGCAGAGAACAGATACCTACCTACCTAACAATACTTCAATGAGTCACCGCTAGGGAACGATTGTGAGGTAGCATAGACTACTGTATTACTGAGTAGTCTATGGAGTGACGGAGTCTATGATATTGAGTAGTCTATGGAGGTCTACGTAAGTCATTAATCTTATCCAACAACCACACTGTCACGAATCAATAACGCCCTTGAACACTGCGGACACCCATTGTGCGGTGCACCGTCACGGCCATCCGCCTGTGACGCCTGCCGGACTGAGGTTCCGAGACTGATGGCTCACCGGATGTACGAGTAGCCGACGTAGCGCGCCAGGTAGCCGAAGAAGGAGATGATGAGAATGTTGATGTGTCCGATCCGGCTACAGATGGCATCAGACCACCAGTTGGCCGGGATCGAGGCCAGCCCGGCCACCGTCATCGTCAGCCCTGCTCGGCACGTGCAGTGTCAGAACTGGGACCGGACGGTAGGTATAAGGCGAAACATGAGAGGGGACGGGAAACATGCCTTATAGGTACAACAGAACACCGAACGGCTGATGGCTGTAAAACATGGGATTGTAGACAACAGTCAATCGTGAGCTGCAGCCCACAGAAGCTTATGATGGAATTTTATGTTCCCTTCGCCGCTGCCTACATCCCTTGTCGGTTTTAATGCGAACAATTTAATTACCACGACATACAGACTTGGTCTCACCGAGCATGTAGGTAGGAGCTTTAAGTTTCTTCAGGAAGACGAATAAGAAACTCTCCAGGAATCCCCACATTGAACCCAAGATGGCCACCACAAGAATAAAGACGAGAGCTTCTGGACGCCGTAAAACCTGAAAGAAATCGACGTTTGCTCATCTCAAGTCAAGGCAGGATGACGACGACGACCAAAGATTATCAGTTGCAACGAGAAGTAAGCACTTCATGTTTTAGGCACATCAGTGATCAGTATGATCAGTGGGTTCCTACATGTAATGTTGATAAAACAAATCGACTATTACCCAGGTACCTATGCTTGAATTATATATGTGACTTATATACCTATGCATTATAATATACACATAGGTACTCCCAATGATGTGCTATCGGGTTACAACCATGCATATCTATCGCACAAGTGAGTTGTGCATATGGACCGTAGCCGCACCGCACCTTGAACAGTTGCCCGATGTGTGCCTTCTCCGGCAAGGAGACGTGTAGGTGGAACACGAAGATGGTCACTATGGTGAGGACCATGCAGATCTCCATCGCGTAAAACGCCGGGCTGTAGTCGGTCGCGCCTGAGGGATGCAGACGGTGCAGGCGAAAAACGGGTGAGAGCGAGTTAGAGGACACAAGTCAAGAGCCTGCATCGCTCGGTTCTTTTTTGAATGCTTGCTTAGTAGGTACGAGTATAAATGACAAATGAAGTACGCGATGCAAATAATATATTAGGCACATATATTCAGCATTTCTTCCCTGACCAGCCTCGGTGCAAATAGTTACAACAAAAGCTTTGGTCGTTGACTCACCGGGGGTGCTGACGGCATCGATAATGGCGCCGACCAGCGGAGGCATGATCACGCTGGCAATGATACCTCCGACTCTCTGGCGTCCAAAGTTCTGTCCGGGCGAGCGGAACTCCTTCACCACCGCTAAACACGTGGCGTCGAGCAGCGTGAAGGCCGGTGCCAGGAAGAACGTGGCCGCCAGCCGCAGGAAGAAGTAGGTCCAGTAGGTGGTCCGGTCCGAGATGGGCAGTTCATCGCCGGGCGCGCACTCGAGCCGACACCCGTCCGGGCAGCTGAGCTCCGCGTGCGCCAGCTCCAGCTCCGTGACGTTGTCGGTCAGCAGTGCCGGCAGCTGGCAGCCGTCAGCACCCAGCTGCAGCACCAGCTCGGCAGCTGCGCCGACCGACAGGCAGCTGTCGCCGGCCGGGCAGGCGAGCAGCTCCCCTTCGGAGTCGGGCGGACACTCCAGGTGACAGTGGAGACTGCGGGTGAGGTTGGCACAGCTGGGCGGCGGCCAGTCGGTGCAGGACAGCGCGGTGCCGTTGGCAGAGGCGGCCAGGGCCTCGGGTGTGGTGTGTGGACTCGGTGGAACGAACAGCAACGCGTGGTGGAACACACAGTGCATCACCAGACAGCCGATGTACAGGTCGCGAATTCGGCCCGTGCGATCCGCTAGAAAGCCTGCCGGAAGAGAAAGACTTAGTTACGACTCAATAGCGATTCAGCAGAGACTCAGCAGAGACTCAACAGTGACTCAGTCGCCTGACCTACCTTTGCCTTCCAGCTTGATCACTAACATTACAGTGCCTGCTGCCTTCTGCCTACCTGCTCTAAAGGCACGCAGCGTGTCGAAATATTGATGTTTGACGAATAAATATTGAGGTAGAAAGTCAATTTCCAATAAAAACAGTCCTTCCAGCGAGAAGTGTTTCCCACCGACGCGACGTTCCACGTCTTTCCGTTTTCTCATGTCTCACCGATGCCCTATTTCAATTCGATTACAAATGTCTCCCCAGAACCCATGCTTTCTCCATTCCCATGTCTCCCCAGCTCCTTCACATTCTTCCAAGTCCCCCACACTCCACACTCCAAAGTCTCACCGATGACGGGAGGTCCCAGGAAGCTGGCCACGGGCATGAAGAGGTAGACCTGGGCGACGTCAGCGAACGTCAGCCCGATGGACGTCATGTGCAGCGTCAGCAGCGGCAGGATCGAGATCCCGGCTGCCAACACGAACATCCACAGGTCAGTTAGACTTTGAAACGACCGCCGCTCCACAGGCATATGTATTGTCGGTAGGGGCTGTAGCGGTACCTATTTTATATACGGTTACGCGACAATTTATCTATTTAGGTACGGATGTAAATTGATAACAAGAGCTGGATTTTACCTATACTGCTGTTTAACTGGACCTCGTGAATGAGTTCATGATAAATTAGATACCTATACCTTTAACCTTGAGTTCTTAAGAATTAAGAACTGCCATTAAGTCATTTGATTATAGGTGCATTTGTTATGTACAAGTTATGTAGATAGGTATATGAAAATTATAAGAAAACGCAGAAAAATATAAAAAGCCATAATCATATTTCATAAAATGGAGGCTTAAATCATGACTATGTGAAATAACGTAATGCTGTTAGGACGTCTCGCTGAAGCCACAGATGAGTGGGTGTCAGGAGCCTCCAGTTTAGGTGTCAACGGGCGTCACAAAAAAGAAGCACGCATTTTCATTTGTCTCAAGTGTCAGATGACGTTGCATCTTTTGCTGTCAAATGATGGACAACTTCAGCGGAGAATGAATTATGCATCGTCATCTATCCATGTGACTAATGGTTTGGTTATTCAAACGAGACTTGAGACATCTTTAAGGTAAGTAGAGACGATAGATCCCACTACTCCGGAAGCAGGCACAGACCAGTGTCTAATGTGCTGTGATGACGGTGAAGCAATATCAATAGAAGACAACCGGTGCAATGACTTGCATTTTGCGCTGATGATGATTATGTCTTCAAAATATTGCCTTTATGTCCACACCTATACGGGCGACTGATGCGTAATAAAAAGTCGAATCCCCAAAAGCAAACCAATCATAGCAATGAAGCAGACACAAGAGCTGCTTATATTGGGATTTACCTATTCGATATTCTGTATTTTATGTTTTATTTTGCATTATAAAATGGGAAGTTACGGCACATAAACATATGCGTGAGCGGCATGTAAGCCGAAATAAGCGTTTAGTTTAGTTTTGATATGTCATGGATTGCACGCTTCGTCCTGCTCCCGATCGAAGATAGCTGAAACGCCATCACAGTGTGTTCGTTGAAGGGGCACAGGAAGCGGAAGGGGCACGGGTGCCTGTGTGTGCGCAAGTGGGTACACCTACGTGTGCCTGCATGTAGTGTCGTACCTCGCCCTATCCTCTATCTTAGTTTTCACTCGAGGTCGTCAGCTATGTAACCATTGTCTCTCTCGGAGGACACTGGTGTGTTGCTGTGGAAGTCACTGACAAACAGCGGGGGATGGCTGATGGCGGACACCCCTGACACGCCGAGTAGCGCAGGGGGCGGGTGGGCGCGCCTCCGCCCCCCGTGGCGAGGCACGCTGTTACAGCACCTCCGGTAGGCCGGCTCGTGTCACCGCAATCTGTCACCCTGGGTGGCGCGGGGAGAGAGAGAGAGAGAGAGAGAGAGAGAGAGAGAGAGAGAGAGAGAGAGAGAGAGAGAGAGAGAGAGAGAGAGAGAGAGAGAGAGAGAGAGAGAGAGAGAGAGAGAGAGAGAGAGAGAGGACACATGTCCAGACCAAGGTCACAGGGTGGAGAGGAGAGTGTGATCGGAGAGGAGCACCCCACTGTTGGCGGACACGGACCCCGCTTCCGCCACCGAACGGCAAAACCATGTTATCGATGCGCCAACATATCCCTTCGGTCTGTATAGTGACGGGCCACACGCACACACTCGAGACAAGATATCTGCGCCACGAGACCTCTGCGCCACAAGATATCTGCTTCACAATATCTTTACACGCTCGGATTTCATTACTTTCAGCTTTCGTCCTTCAGTTGAAGTCACCGGTGTGGCATTTTGAAATTAATTGGTAAGGCTCTAGTGGCTATTTTTAGGGGGGAGGGGAAGTCATTTTTGCTTTTGCCATTGGTAAAATACTAAAATTAAAGGGACCCTCCCACCTTCAAAAAATTTAATGAATTGGCATGAAAGTGATGTCGCTCGGTTCAGAAAGAGCAAAAACGAATATCTACCAAATTTCATCGAAAAATATTCACCGGTTTTCAAGATATTAGACTTTTACTTTTGTTTACTTTTTGGGATCTCCGCTGTTCCTAGCGACTTTATTTGAAAGTGCGGCATTTGTTGCGCGCAAAGCAGCATATACCACCGCGTGCTACCAAACGTTTTAGTAAAAGATTTAAAATCGTTAGATCTCCGCTGACGTCACAAATTCTAAGGGGGCATGCCAATGCATTAGCCCCTTAGAATCCGAAAACTGCAAGTTTGAAATTCGATATCTCCGAATTAAAGCGTTTTTCGATGTTGTGAGTGCCCAAACCGGTATTTTCAGGCCATGGCCACCAATTTGGCTATCTCAACTCAAATCTAATGTTAAGGTGGGAGGGTCCCTTTAATGGTAGGTCTCAGGGCATACCAGGTCTATTGTAAAAAAAAAACTGTGGCTGAACCGACAGAGAAATGGAATATGCAAGTTAAGTAGGTATGTTTAACTCTGATGCGTTTTCTTTTAATCAGTTACTCGTTTTAATGTAACCGTTTTCTAAATTTCTACTCTGTGCATAAATGAGTGAAAAAGTCGATTCATCTTTTCGCTCATCAATTTTTGTCATTGTTTACTTATGATGTTTAGGCGTCGCTGCGTCTAACATTTGATTGAGTGATAAGTGATACAACACCTCCGTCGTTAAGTGTGTGCTCTGCGTGTGTACTGTGTACCTATCCTCTTGTACGTTCAAACGATAATATTAGCTCTAAAGATAGAACCACAGGAGCAATGCTCCCGGGCAAGGCACGTGGCAGTGCCGCTCCTTGGTTGCTTATGTGCTATGTATGTACAGGGGGAGAGTTCTGGCTAGCATTTGGTACCACACTGAATGTTAAACTTATTCCAAGGTGCATTTTAGGCGCATTGTGGATTATTTGTGTGTGTGTACCCTTAACTACCAAAAGGTATTCTCTCTTACCGGCATGGCAGCAGAAGTAGATGAGTTTGATGGGCATAAACTGTTTGTTGATGTGATACCACTTGCGTGGCGGCGCCGGCGGCTGGCCGCTGTTCCCATTGGCCTCAGCCACGCCGTTGCCCTCAGCCGTGGCTCCCATCCTATAGCGAAAACGACAGTGGTGTCAGGTCAGGTCGGAGTCGGGGCGAGAGAAGCAGGTCAGATCGTCCAGAGAGGAGATCATGCCATTTATAACACAGAACAACAACAGATGGAAGACTGCATTGGAATGGGACGGTATTATTCAGACCTCACAGAGATAAGGGACATTGTGGCGGTATATACCTACCTAGTACCTACACAGTAGGCATACATGGTTATCACGACACTATATATACTAAGATCCCGGTGATAAGTTTTATTTAGCTGTATGCATGTAAACGAACTGGTATTAAGAAGACTCTACGCGTGCATACCTACTGCCAGTGTCGATATATCAGAAACAGCATAAACTAGGGTTACCCGCGTGCTCCGCAACGCAAAGAATGGTTGTTTTTGACCCGTGGGTATTGGATTGGTCTGTGTCGATTTGATTGGTATCCATTTCGTTCGATTGCTTTTTCACGGCCAAGCATTTTGTAATAAAACAAAGATACATCGCATCGAGGTGCCCGTGTCGTATTATCATGCGTTCTGCTTAAAATGATTCGAAAACTGGCGTGAAGTCTTTTGAGGGCCATCGATGAATTTCGCTAAAAATGACAATGTAATGGTTTGGAACATTAACATTTTTAAGAATACTGTTGCTCATCCTGCAAAAGTGAAGACTGAACCTTGGACAGAATTGAATGCTCTTTCCAACGGTGCCATTTTTAACTGCCAAAGATATCAGATTATGGAGTAAAACCAGTTTGATAAACAAAGTGGCACAAAATTGACAAACACCATTTTCTCCCGTGATTCGTACCACCTTGAATTGGATCAATCAGCTTTTCACAATTTTCCCATGAGAGGCGGTACATTTCTCTTGCCAACAGGCGTTGTTCCAACTCGCTCCGTTTAACGGTCACCTAAAAATAAAATTAATTCCAAAATCCCTCAAAAACCGCAATTTTTCAAATAAAAGTGCCCTCTCCGGTGCACGTGGCGCGTGCTATCCTCTGCATTGCACACCATTCAATAGCCCGTTCAATTCTGTACACGATGCTGTTTTCCCCGTGCCGGTCGGACCCCTGGTCACCAAGATATTGCACGGGAACTGGACCCGTGTCGGCCAAAATTAGCCGTTTTCGCCCGATTTCGCAATCCGATTTATACATGTAAAGTCTATGACGCGAATTTGCACTTTTTGAGCACGCGCCACGCGCTCCCTATCAATCCAATCGAGCTGAGACCCCTCAAAGGCACGTCGCGCATCCTTGATCTATAAGTTGTGCAAATTTCACCGGGCTAGGTGCAACGGTCTGGCCTGTAGTCCACGCAAAGCACCGCCAAGTCGGGACCTCGGTAACGGACAGACGCACCCTCCTCAAATAGTAATATAGACAAGCGGCTGCGCCACTTGCTTTGCTGCGTGGTAGAGAAAAAGCGGCACCAGCTAATTTGCTTTCGAATGGTGTTTGATTTACGTCGATGTGTCGTCTAGAAGCGGAGATATGGACGGAAATGTAAAGAGAAAATTTTGAAAAAAGAACTGCTCTGAGGGCGTTGTTGGATGAAATTTGGGTGATACGGGGTCAAGACGGGTCAAAGGGGTCAGCCCCGGTCACTTTGGGTCAGGCCAGGTCATATAGGTCACCTCTCGTCCGCTGGGATCAGCCCGGGCCACTGTTCTGCTTTTGCCTCCACCACTACCCCTACCCCTACCACTACCCCTACCCCTACCACTACCCCTACCACTACCCCTACCACTACCCCTACCACTACCCCTACCACTACCCCTACCCCTACCCCTACCACTACATCTACCCATACCCCTACCACTACTACTACCCATACTCCTACCCCTACCACTACCCCTACCACTACCCCTACTACTACCCCTACCAGCATCTGCGATGCTGGGCTCCGCATCGCTGGACCGCAGGTTGTTTGAGCAAGCACCTTTGGAAACGCAGCAAAAACGCCCGCCGCCAAACGAGAGGATGAGCCTTGCACGTGCAGACCGGAGTCGGTGTGCTACGGACTGACGTGCACGGCACCCTATTCGCCGGTCTATAGCGGTGTGCCAAATTTGAGTGCAATCGACCCGGCCGTTTTCGAGATCTGGAAGCGTGACCCTGCACGTGCGCACGTGCAGCCTGGGCCCTAATTGACTTGTGCACGGCACTCTATTCGCCGGTTTCTAGCGATGTACCAAATTTAATCTGAATCGGCCCAGCCGTTTCCAAGATCGGGAAACGACCCCTACACGTGCGCACGTGCAGCTGCACCCCAACCGCGGCACATGAAAATACATACTTACTGACTTGTGCACGGCACCCTACTAACTAGTCTCTAGTGGTATGCCAAATTTGAGCACAGTCGGTCCAACCGTTCTTGAGATATGGAAGCGTCAGCCTGCACGTGCGCACGTGCAAACTGGGTCCCATCTGACTTGTGCACGGCACCCTACTCGCCGAGCCCTAACGGTGTGCCAACTTTGATCACAATCGGCCCAGTCGTTCTCGAGATCTGGAAGCGTCACCCTGCCCGTGCGCACGTGCAGCGGCACCCCAACCGTGACACATGGAAATGCATTGCGCGGCGGGTGCCTACAACCATGCCAAGTATCAGCGCAATCGGCAAACTAACTACAGAGTTATTAGACTTGTTACTGAACTGACTTCTTTTCGTTTTGCACGTGGCACGTGCATTAGGGGTCACCCATACGCATCGAGAGTAGCACACTACGTGTAAGAAAGGAAGGAGCTATCCCACACAAAAGACCGCGAGTGAATCGGTCCAGTGGTTGCAGAGATATAAGGTTTGTACAGGCACCCCACAGGCGGCCTACTGCTAATATTTAGCAATAATCAGTGTCGCATCCGCACACGGGAGGTATCGCCGTCACCTATTCGTATACTCTAATGTGGTTGGGTTCAAGTCACAGTCGAGCCCTGCTTTTTTACAACTTTTCTTAAAAACGGCACATCGTGCAGTGACGTTCTATACATTATTGGAAAGAGCATCGAAAGTTGTATGTTTTATTAACTTTTCACTTTGATATATCTGTAACGTAAAAAGTTATTAAGCAACAAAGACGCTCCCATTGACTTTCCATGTTAAAAATTTTCATTTTCAAACGAACTTTATTAGAAAAAACGATTTCTGCCAGCTTAACGAAGCATAACGGCATGTACTATGCTCTTTCCTTTACAAGATATAAGAGTTTGGGCGAAATCTATCTCTAAAATTTTGTACAAAGATCGAATGAAAATGTCTCTGCAAAGTCTCGACATCGCCGTCCATTGACTTAACATGGGACACAGCAAAATTCCAACTTTGACCTCGTGCAAAGACACGTTCCGAGATTCTGAGGGGTATACAGCGCACACTAGCGTGTACCCAAACGTGTTTGCCATAAAATGCTGGGAAGAAAACCACCTCTTCCTTGGCTCGTTTTCCCGCTATTGGCGATCGCGCAAAAAGTGTCCAAAACCCCGTTCACTTAACACGGGGAAAATGGAATCGCACGTGCCACGTGCCACGAGGTTTTAAGCGAGTAGCGACCGATGCCATAAGGTAGATCGCCTCCGGGAGCCTATACACTGAACTTTTTACGAAGATTGTACATTTCGTCTAGGCCCCAATCAAGATGTCTCGATTCGCTGCCAGACTTGCAAAACATAGCCCGGAGACGGACCGCTCCGGTTGTTTTTCAATAGAAAAACACAATTCTAACGAATAGTGTTTGTCTTTTCAAACAACCTGCGGTTACCGCATCGCGGGACCGCAGGTTGTTTGAGCAAGCACCTTTGAAAACGCAGCAAAAACGCCCGCCGCCAAACGAGGGGATGAGCCTTGCACGTGCACACGGGAGTCGGTGTGCTACAAACACTGCCGCAAAAAAACGCACGCCGTCCGTTAAACTAAACACTGACGCATTAAGACAAATATGGCGCCTTGCGGCAAGTGTGGTGAATTCATATCTGCCGTTTAAGCAGCCATCCCTCAATCAAAGCGCATCCTAATCGTCCCATGTTCGATAAAGTTAGGCACATTCTGTGATTTGCGGCAAAAATGGCGCTTTGAGACAAACGTGGCGCACTGCAACAAACGTGGCGCATTCGTTCCTGTCGCTTAACAATTTTATCCACCCACTAAAATCTAGCCCAATTGGACTTAAACTGACAAAGTTATGTTTATTTCAATATTTCACTATAAAATATCTCCGCAACGGAGGTGCACAAATTTGCACGTGTGCCACGTGACCGCCGGTGGTGTAAGCAGGACTTGTCCGCTCACTGATTGCACCATTTCAGTGTTCCTGGCTTGTGCTGTTTTCGTGCTATAAGGCCACAAATCGGCAAACACACGATAATCTGGGAGGTACGGGACTCAAACACGTGGCCACGTGGCACGTGCCGGACCTCTGATAGCTTCACCGTTCACGCCACGTGATGACCCATCGACGTGGCCATCAGCATGTAAAAGATGACCCCGGCCGGTGTCACCGTCTCCGAACAGTGGACGGCTAAACTCGAAAAACGGGAAAATTTAGGGAAATTTCACCTTTCGAATATATAACTTCCCCAGAATTTTAAATTTTTCATTTTACAAAAAATCCGAGATAGCAGTTTTTTAGACGTCTTCATTCTGTGCCTAAACCCGTTTTCAGATCGACCCTATCATAAAAACTGACGGCCTGACGGCTATTTCCCCCACTCCTTGCATTTCACAATGCTAGTATATTTAAGCACCAAAATTGACCCCCTGCCACGGCACGTGCAATAGCACGTGCGACACGTGACCACTAGTGCGACAAGCTGGACTCATCTGCTCACCGGCTGCACTGATTTGGTGTCGCTAGTTGAAGTCGTTTCCACGCCAGAGGACCCCGAGTAGGCCAATGTCGGATTTTCCCGGAGGTTACCCCATCAAACACGTTTGCACGTGGCACGTGCTTTTCAATCGCCCCATATCTGACCCATACCATGTGGTAGCCGACACCCTGGG